GGGGGGGGCCTGCGTCTGCGGAGGTGGATTTGAAAGCGATTTGATATTTGTTTTTGTTCTAGTGGGGGTGTCTTTTTCTCTTCTCTCTTTTCTTTCATTTCTAGCGTGAACTGGAAGGGGGGGTTAAATCACTCCCTTTTCCTCATGGAACAGGAAATATTTATTTAAACGTTCCATAATATATACACCAATAATACAAAATTCTGTTTCTGAACCCGTACAAGAAAAATGACCTAAAAAAACATATATGAAGCTTAGGGGTAGAGGTAGAAACTCTCTTTCATCTCTTTACCATGTGGTTAGAGGACTTGTCCGTGATCTGGTGCAAATTTTCCTGTGTTTAAAGCGAATTTTATTCCCTTTACAAGAAGGGGACTTTATATATGCCTAAAATAAGAAGACATCTGGTGTTGGGTTAGATGCTTTCACATCTCTCTTATTCACTCTGTTCTTCTGCTATGTGTAATTAAGCATTTATTACATTATGAACTGGATTCTACATGTCTTAGTTGTGTTTCCCAATACAAACCTGAAGATCAGTTTTGTTTGGTTCAGCAACTGCACAAGTATTTTATATGAAATGGAACTCTTCCAGCAGGGGGGGTTGAAGTATTTACTGTACTCTGAAAATCTCCCATGACTTTGTTAGGCAACTTCCCCAGGAATCAGACAGACCTACATTCAAATTTATTTTCCTTCATTCAGGGCAGGTATTTGGTCCAAAATCAGTGGCCTGATCACAAGACTGTGGGCTGTTCTGGCGTAAGTCGGATTTACAGTGGGATTCCTAAATATTCTTAAATACCCGTTGCATAATAGAGAATGGTCCCTTCTTGTGAGATATTTAGAATCATAGAATCATTTAGGTTGGAAAAGACCTTTAAGGTCATCGAGTCCAACCATTAACCTAGCACTGCCAAGTCCACCACTAAACCATGTCCCTAAGTGCCACATCTACACGTCTTTTAAAAACCTCCAGGGATGGTGACTCAACCACTTCCATGAGCAGCCTGTTCCAATGCCTGATAATGCTTTCAGTGAAGAAATTTTTCCTAATATCCAATCTAAACCTCCCCTGGTGCAACTTGAGGCCATTTTCCCTTTTCCTATTGCTTGTTCTGTGAGAGAAGAGACCGACCGCCACCTCACTGCAACCCCCTGTCAGGTAGTTGTAGAGAGCGATAAAGTCTCCCCTGAGCTTCCTTTTCTCCAGGCTGAACAGCCCCAGTTCCCTCAGCCGCTCCTCATAAGACTTGTGCTCCAGACCCTTCACCAACTTCATTCCCTTCTCTGGACACGCTCCAGCACCTCAATGTCTTTCCTGCAGTGAGGGGCCCAAAACTGAACACAGGACTCGAGGTGCGGCCTCACCAGTGCCCAGTACAGGGGAACAATCACCTCCCTGCTCCTGCTGGCCACGCTATTTCTGATACAGGCCAGGATGCCGTTGGCCTTCTTGGCCAAATTTATATATATCTAAAAATTACTTGGTATTTTTATGAATATCTTTGAGATGATAAAATTATTTCCTGAAAATTTACTGTTCACGAAATCTTTTCTATGTACTTGTATGGCAGTAGTATCTATGGACAAGAACGTGGCTGTGTAGGTAGAAGGGAATGACACTATGAAGCAGAAATTTGTGTTGGAGTGTGAGGGCTGTATGTGACTAATAAATGTGTGGAGCAAAAGAGCTGTATATGGCAGAATGTCTTTGTGCAAGGAAGGAGACTGAATCTGCGTGTGTGTGTCAACGCTTCCATGTAGAATAAGTGCAGTACTTGTGTTGGGATCCAGTGTGAGGTAACTGGACAACATCTGCCACACAGTTTGTTAAAGCTGTTTAGTAATGTGTGTAGTAACTAATGCTGTATGTATTCATAATGCTTTGTAGTCAAGAATGATTCATCCTTTCTGTGTCATATCAGATAAAGTAACTAATGTAACATTAAGAAAATCTGAAACTTGGGAGACTTGAAGTCCAAAGAGTTTTAACTTACTTGCGTTGTATGTAAATTGTCGGTACGTTTGATAGACAGTTTGCCTTGGTAATGTGTGCTACAGAGTGTTTTTTCAGAAAAGAAGGGGCAAGCTGTACGCTTCACTTACAGATGTTGTGTTTCTTCCACATTACAGGGATTGCGAGAGAACTGTACTGTTAATATTGGGTTTAGTATCACCTGATGCCAGCTAAGCAGTCAGACTGCTTAGTGGATTGGGATAATTTACTGCTTTGTTGATAGAGTCGTTGGAGAATGTAAGCGCAGTACATGTTAGCCTTGATAAAGATTGATGTTCACAGTCTATTTTGTACATCACTAAATTTCTAAACTGTTGATAAACAACGTCTCTTTTTTTCTCCCTTTCTAAGATACTACGCGTATCTTCAGCAAGCTCAAGCATTTTACACGTTCCCATTCCATCAGATGATGACTGCAGCGCCTAACATGGAAATCATGACTGAGCAGCCGACTCTAGAGGGCATTCCAGAGCCAAACATTGCTCAGGAGCCTCCAAAAGGTAGTTTGACTGGGCTGTGCTAAGTGAGCTAAAACGTTAGTAATTGATTGGGGAAGAAAATTATTAGTCTTAAGCTGCTTCTTTGGACGTATTGGATTTCCTTTTCTTGATGCTTTCTGAGGAAGTATTGATTAATTTTATTCTTTCAGTAATGTTTTTTACCAGACAATTAAAAAGATAAGAAGTAAACTCAGGTGACAGTATTCACATTGTTCTATCTCACAAAATTATCTTGCTCCAGGAAAAGCAGATTTTTGTCTCAATAGATAAATGTATCATTTTTAGCTGATTTTATGGGGTTTAATATTATGTTAGAGAAGTTTTCTTTTTAAAGTCTGAGTTCAAAATATTTTTTGTTAATTTCTGCAAGAGAAGTACAGTACAATACTGTTTATTCAAAATATTTTTGTTTAAAAGGTGGTTTAGTGTGTTGTAGTAATCACAGATAGTGAATTATATACACTAAGGATTGTTTGGGTTTAGTGAAGCTTATTTAAACAAATACAAACAATGCTGGAAGGTGTCCCGTACGTGACAGGACTTTGTGCTTTATGCACTTGTACACTGCCTTTCTTTTCCCCCACTAGGTCTTTGTACAATTAGACTTTGCAATAACCATGCCAAGAAAACACCCCTTGTTCTGTTACTCTGCTTGCTCTTTACCACATAAAAAGGCAGTGATCCCTGCCATGCTTAAATTCTGATTCTGTAGCAAATATTCACACACTGAATTTTGTCTTGCTTTTCATACTTAGATATGGGTTAGAGCTGTCTGTACCAAAGTACCCTGTCAGCCAGATCATGCAATGACATTGCTTGTTTAAGTGCATCCTTTGATAAGCTTAATTTTTTTTTTTTTTTTAGTTGTAATATATGGCCAGATGAAATCATAGGAAGAAGACCTCCAGTTTAAAATAGTTGCAACTGCTCAATTCATTCACAGTATTGCTCACTACAGTTAGGATGCATCTCAAGTGCTATGTAGTTCGGCTTCTTTTGCAGCTTTGTTATTGAATGACATGATGTCACCATGAGCAGTGTTTGACTGCACTTTTTCAAGTATCTTTGGACAACCGTAATCTTCCGTTATGAAACTGTCCCCTAATATTTTTGCAAGAATTGGAAGATGAGTAAGGCCTTCAAAGGCAGGGCTTGAAGATTTACCAAATATGTGTGTGAAATTTACAGGAGCATATATGAAAGGCAAAGATATGGAGTCCAGCCACCTGATGGAATGAAAAAAGTAAAATTTCTAGGATTATCCTCTGAAAGGCTGCCCTGGCATTGTTCATCTTTCATGACAGTGTCTGGTTGGTAGGTCCCTGATCAGCATGAGAGTTAGGAGAACATTATCCTGCCTCATTTGAAATACGTCTGTCCTGGTTTCAGCTGGGATAGAGTTAACTGTCTTCCTAGTAGCTGGTACAGTGCTATGTTTTGAGTTCAGTATGTGAAGAATGTTGATAACACTGATGTTTTCAGTTGTTGCTCAGTAGTGTTTAGACTATAGTCAAGGATTTTTCAGCTTCTCATGCCCAGCCAGGGCACCTGACCCAAACTGTCCAACAGTGTATTCCATACCATGTGATGTCCCATCTAGTTTAGGAACTGGGGAGTGGGGGGCAGGGATTCGCCGCTCGGGGACTGGCTGGGTGTTGGTCGGCGGGTGGTGAGCAATTGCCCTGCGCATCATTCGTACATTCCAATCTTTTTATTACTACTGTTGTCATTTTATTAGTGTTATCATTATCATTATTAGTTTCTTCTTTTCTGTTCTATTAAACCGTTCTTATCTCAACCCACAAGTTTTACTTCTTCTCCCGATTTTCTTCCCCATCCCACTGGATGGGGGGGGAGTGAGTGAGCGGCTGTGTGGTGCTTAATTGCTGGCTGGGGTTAAACCACGACAACATCCAACTCGGAGCAGTCAGAGTATCTGTGGCATTTTGCCGTCACATGAAAAACCTGCTAACTCTTCCAAGGGGTAGGAAAGAAAAGCTGCTTATGTGCCTCGCCAAGTCTGCACCCTTCTAGTCCCTTCTTCATTGTAGCTAGACTGTAGCTCGAGTACTGTTACTTAAGGCTTTCCAAAGCAGTCGCTGCAATGATGCAGTGGGAATTTCACATGACTTTTGTCCTCCTTTTTGTTTGCACTCAGCTTTCTTACAAGAACAGCCCAAAAAAAGTTTGCAGACTTAGAGCAGTGCCCTGGTATCCACCGTATTTATTTCTTACGTGAGGGAGATTTTCATCTAGAAGTTTTGAAAATAAGATGAAGTCTCACTTTTTAAGTAATGGATTACTTTGGCTCTTTGCTGATTGCTGCTAAATATGTTTTCATGTTTTTTCAAGCCGTGTTCTGCAGCTTGACATTATTAATGAACCAGGATAGAGAGCAATCACTGGGTGGTCATGTCGTGACCAGTATCTGTGCTGCTTGAATCTCTAAGCTTTAAGGGCCAGAAGATGAGGAAGTTTTAAATGAGTGAACAGTGACTACTTCATGTTTGCATTTTGTAAATAAAAATTCATGTTTGGTGTAATTCATTCAAATTGAGATCCTGAAGGTCTCGTTACCTAGCTATATGGTGCACTGGACAGTATCTATTCTGTAAACAGTAAATTGTGAATAGCTTATGTAGCGTTCAGCCTGTATGTTTGTGTTCCTGATGAGCTTATACCTTACACTATAGGTAATCCTTGAGACTTTCTGCTTTTGACATGCTGTTCTGTTCCTTCCAACATGTTATGTAATCTGTAACAAGCAACTTTCATATTTAGAAGCTGAAGTGTGAACAGCAGACTAGAACTTACAGTCGCATTCCTCGGAACCTAAGCTTTGATGTAAACAACATAACCTAGTCATGAGGTTATTCTCAGTTTGTATCCTAATTCAGCGTAGTTGCCTGCTAGTAGTGTGTGTGTGTCTGTGGAGCAGATGCACCCAAGCTAGTTCTGTTAAGCCTGCAAAACCAAGATTCATCTGATAATTGTTTAAATTAATGAATTTCAAAGGTAAATTTATCTGTCTGATTTCTTTTTGTACCCATACATTTAGCTCAGTCTTTTTGAATATCCACACTGCAACATTAGAAATGTACAAAAAGGATATTTGCTGTGTGTTTCAGAAGTTAAAAAAGGAGGAAGGAAAAGAAAAGCCAAAGCAACTGAGCCAAAGCAACCCAAAAAGCCTGCTGCTAAAAAAGAAAAATCAGCCAAGTCAAAAGGCAAACAAGAAAAGATCACAGATACTTTTAAAGTCAAAAGAAAAGTGGACCGTTTCAATGGTGTATCTGAAGCTGAACTTCTGACCAAGACTTTACCTGATATTTTGACCTTTGATCTGGACATTGTAATAGTAAGTAACTTGCAGTTATAAGATTAGGTAGAAAAGTGAATAGTCTGTACTCACTGGTTATGATTTACATTCTTTCTGCTTACTTACCTATACTGCTTATATGGCAAGATCTTGCAAGATAAAGTATATAAACTGTTTCCTGTGTGTAGAGCTGCTTTGCATTTTCTGTTAAAAATCATACTAACATTGTTCTAATTTCTGAGAAATCTAAGGCTTCCGTATAATACATAGTCATGAGAGACCGTTACTTGACACTTTATTTACTGGAAGTGCTACACTGGTGGCCATAAAACACACTGAGCTGCTCTTTTGACATTGCACATCTAAATGAGACACTGCTATAAAATTGTCAATTTTTTTTTTAAATGATGAGAGGTACCATTTTAACACAGTTTTGTTTATTGACAGTAACTTAAAGAGAGTTGAATAAGTGTCCTTACTGTAACTTTATTAAATTCCTGACTAGCAAGCCACGTTCTCATCATTAAAATGGACTGGTATCTTTGTAGATTGGCATAAACCCTGGCTTGATGGCAGCTTACAAAGGACATCATTACCCTGGACCTGGAAACCATTTTTGTACGTTTTTGTTTTCCTTTCTTCTTACAGAATTTGCAGAACTTTGTTAGAACTTGTGGCATTTTAATTAAACTGGTTTGGGTTTTGGTTTTTGCTTTCTTTTTTTGGATGCAGAGAGGGATTTTCCTTTTAACCATCCAAGAGTGATTTAAATCCCATAACTACTTCAGTAAAATACCATAAATAAAAAGGAATAAAAGATGAATAACCAGTGACTTTCAATGCAGGTTTAGAATTGTCATGTAAATACAGGTATATTTCTTGGTGTATTAGTAAACAACATAAGGAATAAAAATTAAATCTCTAGTACTTGAGTTATCAAGGGTAAGTCAATAGGCATCAATTTCTGATACAAAACTACACACGTTTTCCCAAAAATGCATTTCAGCAAGCCCTCTTCTGTTTGCCTTTATTCATGTCCTCTAAACAAGCTCTCTAACTGATGAAAAAGCAAGAACCATTGCCCTTTCCCAGCAGGCATATGCGTCGAGCATACCTGATTCACCAGACAGATTTTTTTTCCTAGGTGTTTTCCCATTTAAGTAACATTTTCTGCAGCATGTTCTCATAAAAAAAAAAAAAATCATACCTGAACTCTGTTGAAATGCTCTGTTTTGCATACTGGGAGCCATTCCAGCTGTGGTAGTATGGAGCTCCCACATGGGCTAATTAGCAGCCCTGTGATACTCCAGCCAAAATGCTTCTGGTGTTCAGCAGACTTGTAAACCAGGCTTGGGTTATTTCTCTATAGCGTTCTGCAGACTAGCCAGTCTAATAGCCTCCTTTACCAAGAAACAGACCAGATATGCATGCTCTGACAAATCCATGTGTTTGTAACTTTCTGGAATCATTAGGAGCTAGCTGTGGTTAATTTGTGCTTGAGAGATTGGCAGTGCACATCACTCAAACTATACTTTGATATGCTAAATATGAATATATGATGTCAACGGGTTCTGTCAGAGAGGCCCAGTGCAAGGAGAAGCAATAGCAAGGTTGTTAAAGAAAGCTGACACATTGTGTTTGCCATGTTCTTTCCCATGAAAATCCATATTGGTCACATTCCCTGCCTGCTTAAGCGAATAGCAAAATCTAAAGCTCTGTACTGAACTTTTGGAATAAAAGACTGGTTTCGATACACAGGATCATGGTGAGGAATTCCTGTTGTTCACTAGGGATTTTCTATCCTCTTGCAGTAGATACAAGTAATTTTTGGCTCTTTTAAACTTTTCTGGATAGGGCAATACTCTTCCCAAATTAATTGATGCTCTGTTAATATAGATTCTCCCTTTAGCATTCCAGTACTCTGATAGTCGAGGAGGTTTTTTTGGTTTTGTTTTCTCTTCCTTAGAAAAAGGCAAATGTGTATCTTCCTGCTTCACAGGGAAGTGTCTGTTCATGTCTGGTCTAAGTAATGAACAGCTGAACCATATGGATGACCACACCTTGCCACATAAATATGGGATTGGATTTACAAACATGGTTGAAAGGACAACACCTGGAAGCAAAGACCTCTCCAGGTAGGGTAACAAGGGGGAATATTGTGCTTGTTAATGAATTAATAGGTGTGATTATAATTTTGAGTACTTTCTTTTTTAGCAAAGAGTTTCGGGAAGGAGGTCGAATTCTGATGCAGAAGTTACAGAAGTATAAACCTCGTATAGCAGCTTTCAATGGAAAATGTGAGAACCTTGACTTTTAAATTAATTTGTTCTGTCAGTAGCCTTTTTTGTTTGTTTGTTTGTTTTTGCCCACTTATCCTATCTTCTTTTCATTTTAGGTATTTATGAAATTTTTAGTAGAGAAGTTTTTGGAATAAAAGTTAAGAACCTAGAATTTGGACTGCAGCCACACAAAGTGCCAGATACAGAAACTGTAAGTATTGATACTGAGAAACAAAAACAGGTCACTCCATTTTGAGTATTTCAAAACTAACAAAGTCTCAGGATTTGCACACACAATAATGTCAAAGTTTGCTCAAAGTACATGTGATGCAAAGGGCTTTTACTTAAATAGAGAAAGGGAAATAGTGCAATTTTCAGGCACATCTTTAATGCAGCTGCTTCAGACTTGCAGACTTTATTTGGGAAATGGTGGATTATGGTTAGTAGGTTAGTGCGTTCTCTGAGGACTATCTGAAATATGAATAAAACATACATGCTTTTATGGTAACTGTCATCTACTTTCATCTGATTTTCTGTGTCCAGTTCCCTCTATGTTTGTATTACTGAACTTTTGATACCGAACATGACCATGGTGCTAGTAGTGCCACAGCAGGGGAGGAAGAATGGCAAGTCCATCGTTGCGCTATTACTACAGCTACAGCGTTACTGGATCTGGGCATGCCCAAGCACTTCCATCAGACTCAGTCTTCTTAAGCTGATTTGCAGCCTGAAATGAAGTTGGACGCTTAAGATAAAGCAAGCAGTTTGATGCAGAGTGCATTAGTCAGACATCTAATGCTGGAAGGTATCTCAAGAGACCAGCTATGTATTATCACAAATAGGTTTGTTTAACCTGTCGTTATAAACAGGTTAAGGCAAAGGCAATTACACTACCTACCAAGGTAGCTTATTCCAAAGCTTCATTACCTTGTCAGTTCAAAAGTTTGTTTTTATTTCTATCCCAAGCTACTAGGGCTGCAAGTTTAAGCTCGGTTTAAGCTGTTCTTCTCTGAAGGTGAAGTGTTGCCATCAGAGCCTGAGGAACTGTTGGTGATAAAGTGCTTGCTTCTTAAGTAGCTCTTAAAAACTTCCGCAGTAGATGCATTTGTAAGAAAGATAAATAGTCCTCTTTACTAGTACTTGTTCTTAAATACTGCACGGTAATAAAAGTATTGGATACAGTTCCTTTTTCCTGAACTAACTTTGTGTCCTTAGTTAGGGCTGTTGGCAGAGATAGAGACGCTGAAGTTAGCTTCAACCACGCTAACTCCGGTGTTTCAAACCCTGGCAAGTGTGATGCAGGCGCCCTTGGCGAAGAAGCCAGGCTAATTAACCTGTGATGCCTCCCTCACTGGTTTGGGGTGTTGGCATGCTGTCACGTACTCCTCTGTGGACTTTCTGGCTCAGAGCTCTGCTTGCTCAGGGAGCTCTCGAGTGTGCTCCACTCTCGGGCATACACTTGTAAATTGCACTTCTTGTAACGCATACTGTTGCTGCTTCTCCCGCAGCACATAAACAACTGGTGAAAATTGTCCTTGCTTCAGCAGCTGGTAATTGGCCCCTCTCTTTAGGGCAAGACATCTAGCTGGCCAAGAAAAATGAAAGACTCCTTTTATCCTCTTCCACAACCTCCTGTGGCATTAGTTGAAGTTTCTACAAAGGGTTAAAACAGTGAGCTTAACTGTTAAGTTATTCTCAATGCACTAAATATAGCTCGGGGACCAGTAATGCTATTTTTCTTGCTCTTGTCTCAAGCTCTGCTACGTTATGCCGTCATCCAGTGCAAGATGTGCTCAGTTTCCTCGTGCACAAGACAAAGTTCATTATTACATAAAGCTGAAAGACTTAAGGGACCAACTGAAAGGCATCGCACCAAACACAGAGGTGCAGGAGGTGCAGTACACATTTGACTTGCAACTTGCACAAGGTATAGTGGTTATTTTGTTAATCCTTTATTAAAATGTTAGTGTAGTGTACAATGCAACTAGCAGTTTCCCAAGCAAGAAGAAAGAAGGAGTTTAAGGGGAGGGGGCAGATGTGCCATCTTCTCTAAATCGTGTGGTGTAGAATTACAGAGTCCGCTCTCTTTTTAGTACCGTCTTAATTATGTAAGGGGAGCAGGGATTATCTTGGTTTTTTAAGTGTTCTCCGATAAAAATGCTCTTTGATCATTTTTGTTCTGAATATTAATACTTGAGGTCTTCTCTTTCGACAGAGGATGCTAAAAAGATGGCTGTCAAAGAAGAAAAGTACGATCCAGGTTATGAAGCAGCATATGGAGGAGCTTACTGTGATCGTGCGCCATACGAAAGTGAACAGTGCAGTTTCTCTTCAAATGGAACCGGTAAAGTGCGGTGCTTGGGGCATTCAGTCTGTAAGCCGTGACTTATGAACAAATATTTAGTGGTATCAACTGCATTTTAAAAACTGTATTTTATTATTTTTTGTTTGTTTTAGCAGCAAGCAATCCACAGTACTGTGAGGGGTCGTCCTTCGGTGAAGTTCCTAATGGACAATGGATGACACAGTCCTTTGCAGACCAGATTCCAGAGTTCAGTGCTGGTATGACACGGGAAGAAGAGGGAAGCAGTGCGTAAGAGCTGTTTCTTCTCCGCTACGCATACATGCTGCAGTTTTAATGCAGTGATCAAGATCGGTACCTCGGTTCTCCAACTGAAGCATTTTAATAGTATTTTATCTCCCTTAGTTATTTTATTATAGTCCAAAGTAAGTGTGTGGTAGGCTCAAATCAATGAACTAGATAATTTTAAGGAACTGTCCAAACTTTTTAAAAAAAAGTTAGCCCTTTTTTGTATATGAGTTTTATATTTAATGTATACCATTTCTTGCAGTTTTTGACAAATTGCTTTCTCATTTGCTGAGATTTCTTTGGGGCGTTAATTTTATTCCATAAATCATAATGTAGTAGTAACAGCAGCAGTATACTTTTTACTGATGCATCAATATTTGGATATCTCATAATCCTTTTATATCCAGAGGGGAAAATGGGAAGTGTACCCTTATCTTTCATGAAGTGGTGTTTTTAATCATGCACAGTTAAGCAAATTGTGCTTTTTAAGTCTCCCTTTTACTTTCTTTAAAAGCGCAGAGAGTTGTGTTCTGCAGCTGTGAGTACTGAGTATTTTCTGGGTGGGAAGAGCGCGCTCTGTCTGTTTAGTGATTGGACCGTATTCAGGATTAAAGGAGTGGAGACATCACCTCAGGTCACAGCACTGGGGAGGAAAATTTGTGTCGCACAGGACAGGGCCTAAATAGTCTAGCTGAGCTGTCTTAGGGTAAGATGTCCCTACCAATCCATCTCTTTCCCCCTTAAATTCCAATGTAAGGAACTGGAATTCCTTTTAAAAAAAACAACCGACAATGGTGGTTCTTGAATTCTGTGGCATTTCAACTCTCAGTCATTTCTGTGTGATTAGTCTCTTCACCTGACCTTTAGGAGGAGACAACCCCTTTGAACAGACTACATTGCAGGGAATTGAAAGACCATATTCCAAAAAATCACATACAGCTACATTGTTTACATCAGGTAGGATCAGCACAGGGTGGAAGAGGTTTGCAGTTTAGCAGGTTTTAACATTCAGTGGAAGAGGTTTGCGATTTAGCAGTTTTTAACATTCAGTTCTCTTCAATCTGTAAGACCTTAGAGGGTGCTCTCCATATTCCTCTTACAAGTAAAAAATACTAAGTTACATGTAAGGGCAGTTGTTCCATGAATAGGAAGTCAGCTCTAGAAACTGCTGCTCTCTTCTGAGGAACTTGCTTAAACAATACACATTTTTGGCCAATATTAGTGACTGAGAAAGGTGATTCCATGCTTGTGCCTAACCATCATCTTTCCCTCTTTATCATGAGGAAGAGATGAAGTAAAAGCAATAAGCTGATCAAAACATTAAAGTTTTGATGATCTTATGACAGTAGGTGCTTCATATACTTGAAAAATAGATACAAACAGTATCTCCAGAATCCACACTGGTCAGAGATTCCTGTACTGGTGTGTTTTATCCTTTCCTCACAGCCAGTGATAGTTCTCATGCATTGAGTGTAACTAGTTAGTGTAGATTCTAATCCTGCTGTAACAGCTCTCGCCGAGATCACACACTGTCAACCTGTTGTGAGGCAGGCATGATGTTTACAGTTTCTTCCCAAATTATGTGGCTTAATTCTGAGCGTCTTAAATCAAGAAAGTGTGCATTATGGTTCTGATTGTGTTTATTAGCTTCAGCATAAAGCTGTTCAGTATATTGTCAAAAAGGTATAGGACTTGTCTTGTCTGTTATTTAAAGTGTACTGTATCATGTATTGCTGTTTACATGGACGTTTTCCTGCAGGTGCTCAAAGTATCTTGCATCAGGGATTTGTTACAATTCAATTTTATTTTTCAACAAAACTAGAAGCATGTAATTAGCACTGCTGAATATGTAGCACAGTAGGATATAACTACTGTAAGGCTATCCTGTTTGATGAGAAGGGCAAGGTCTCTTTAACAGAGTCACCTACTAGGTTATCTAGGTATAAAATACAGTTAAGTGTACAATGACCGTTTCACTAAATATTGCAATCCTATGTGTACTCCCTCAGAACTGGTGCTCTTTTCATTACAGTAATACAAAAGTTCTTAATCTGTCTTAAATCTATCAATGTTTCACAATAAAATCAGGAATTGTATTGCAGTGTCTTCGAATGTGCTTTTGCATCTTGCTCGCAGGGGTCTAAACACACAACAGAAAATGTAATACACAGAAACACTACAAAACAGAGTCACCATGCAGCAGAACTCTACTCGTTAAAATGCTGTGTAAGTTTTCATTTTGGGCTGTTTAATGTGGGCTAGACAACTAAAGACGCCATGTGTGTAATACTGCAAGTATTTCCTGTGTAGGTTTTTCTACCAGCAGACACTGGAGTCTTATTTATAAAGACCTTACATTAAAACACACTGCCTGGCACTGAATTTCACCTCTGTAAACGTTTAATGAAAACACTTAATTCTCAAGCAAACTTGTTTCCTCGCCTTACATAAAAGTCAAGATACTCTGCACTGTGTAACTGTCACTCCAGCCTCCCTCTCCAGCCATAGGCACACAAAACTGATGGTCGTTTATTCATACATTTAACAAATACTTAGTTTTCTAAAATCAGTTAATTATACAACATGTTGCATCTCAAACTATTACATACTGCAAAACATAGTGTATGGATGCATTTAAGTGGTTTCAGTATCAGCTATCGGGACGAGTTAATTTGAACTTCCCCGAAGGGTCAGGAATAAACCAGTGTTCCCAGAGATCAGTGTGAACACTGGGATAGTCCCAAGGTTTGTATCTCCCATTCCAATGAAGTAATTTAGCTTCCTGAAGAAAACGCTCTGAGTAATGGGTATCAGGACTCCAACCTGTATGGGTAGATTTAAAAAAAAATTAAAAATCCTGGTTTTAATAATGGAAGACCCTATAGAGTGAGGTAAAGTCAGTTATTTGTTTAAGAAGTCTGATTAGTACGGTTTCACCTATTAATCGACAACTAGTTGTATAAGAGTAGCTTTTTTCAGCTTCATGCCTCTAATGCTGCATCAGCAAAAAATCTCAGTAATTTTCCTCTCTCAACACTTTTAAATTCTTGGCATAGCTGGGGTTAAAAAAAAAAAATTTTTACTATTCATTTTACTATACCAGCTAAGCCATTGTATCTTTTTCCCAGGATAATTCACCATTCCCAGGTGAAAGGTAACTACATCCTACAGGTATCCCATCTTCTTCCACTGTGCCTACTAAAAGAGTGTCTGATTTTTTCAGTCTCTAGCTATATTCAGATCTTCCATATATTCTTTCCGTAGTTTATGACAATATAGGTTAACTGGTCTTCAAACATGTAGCTTTGTCCTTGGTATTTGGGTTTTTTCCTTTTTTTATCCAATTTAATGACTATTAGGGTTTGGGGTTTTTGCAGGGGATGCAACTATTTTGTTTGCTTGACCTGTTAAGAAATTTGCACAGTGACACCCGTGGGGAAGCCCCACATTCTGCCCTACCCTGAAGACAGCAGGACTAAGGCGTGTTGGGGGAGGCAGGGATTACATACTGTGGATCTGAGGTATAAAGTAATGCACTGAGGTAAAGTAACCTAAGGTCCTATACTGGAATCTTACAAACGGTTCACTTTATTTAGTTCCAGCTGCAAACAGTGGGAAGTTGAACTTACCAAGATGCCTTATGTGCCACATAGGATTAATAGTGGAATACTTTCCATGAAAAACAATCAGCATTGGAGAGGTTGCCACGCCTCCCCCAAGGGTGCTGCTGTAGAGGTTTTCCCTACAAAAGGAAAAAAAAAAGAAAAAAAAAAGAAAACATTCAAAATCTCAAGCAAAGAATCTAGTACAAAAGACAGAAGATTAAAAAGTTAAGTATTATGGCAAAATTCAAAATCATGTTGAATAGACCAGTTTTCATCATACTCCCTCCTAATGCTGTTAATTGCTTGTATTTGCAACTCCAGTCCCTGTTGAGTAAATCACTGCTTTGGTGATGGGAAAATGGGAGTCAGACCCAACATGATGCCAATTACTTCTGCACACCACCTATAGTCTACAAGGCTGACGAAGTTTACAGTAGAAGAAAAGCTGTTAACAGAAAGGAACCAAACATTTTAGCCTGGTATCTTAAGAAAATGTACATGTTTCCATGTGTTTCATTCCCTCTTAATTCCCCATTCTCCCCTCCCCCAGCTTTTAGACCCATAAATTAACTTCAAATCAGTTTTGCCAAAGTCTAGTTAGTATAAACTAACATCTAAAGGATACTGATTTCCTAAGAATTTTGTGATAAATCCAGGGCTGGATCAAGCCAAATCGCTGTAAGGAGAGGCATTAGGAGGTCACAGCCAGATGTCTGGCTGCAGCGTGCTTGAGGCCTGGCTGGTCAGTTGGCACGTGGGCAAAGCCACCCCAGCTACGGGACACTGTGCCACCCACCAGCCCAACAAGGAGGAAACCTGGGAAGTGCCGGGAGATGCTTAGAGGCGACAGAACAAAAAACTCCTAACCTCCCCTCAAAACCGGGTTTCAACTGCTAAGCAATTTATTTCACTGTCATTTCAAAATCCATCTAAAAGGAACATGAATGTGTTATCAAGGTATAAAATCAACTTCTTAGATAAAATTTGCAGTAATATTCATGGAGTTTTTTCAAACTTGTAAAAAGCACAGCAATAGCTTGTCAGGATATGTTACGTAAGCAGAGTAAAAGACACTTGGCTTTTCATTCTTTCACATGCTTATCATTTGCGTCTCTCCTCTGTTCACCTCTGAAACTAACAAGTAATGGACATAGTCCAACAGCGCAAGCTATTCAGTTTCAGTTTAGCCTTACTAAATTTAAATTTAACCCTTTGCAGAAAAAGAAAATAAATGTCAAGTTTGCAAATGCAGGTTAACAGTCAACTAACATAAAAAAGGAACAGTGATTGTTTCATGGTGTCATGACTTGTGGTCAATGCCAAAAAGGTTATCTTTCATGTCAAATTTGGTTCATCTATAGAAAAAGAAGTGTTTTGTGTTGGTATTTAAGAAATATGGTGTCCAATTACAGTTTGGCTGACATTACAACTGGAGAGACCCCACACAAACAAACATTCCTCCTCCTTTAAGCCAGCCTCAGGAAGGGAAGATCCTAAGTGGCTTGATCCCAAGTGAGGTCGCTCACCCAAAAGAAGAACCACATGTTCTCAGTGTCCCTCAGGATTAAGTGTGGTTTCTGATTAAACACCAGACTAAAATTCCAGGTGGCCATTTCCTGGTACACAATTGGTCAGATTTAAGCAGACAGAAGTTCTGGAACATGAGTTACTTTGCTTGATGAGATCCCAAAGACAGACTATCTAGAGTTAAAGAACTTCTAAGAGCTTTTAAACAGAAAACTGTAAACTGAGTATTAAAAGTAAAGTGCCAAGCTAGATTTCTGCACATACTCTACATTTCTTTGCATCCACTTTTCCAACTGCTTTGTAATCCGTTGATGTTTCCATTCAGTCATGTTAGCAACAATTACTCCAGGATTAAAGGAGCAGGTGCTGGGGCTGATGCCAAGATCTCTAATCGCTTGCTTTCTGTAGTCCAGGAATCCCATGTACGTGTTCTAAGAAATAAAAAAAAGTATGTTTATCCCCTATGAATCTCTATAAAGATAAGTGTAAATGCATCTCTCTACCACTCACATGGAGACTAAATACTTGCTCCCAAAGCTGAGTTTCTAGATGATGGTTACCTGTCTTGATTTCCACATGACACAAGGCTGAAAGGCAGGATACTTCCAGCTACTCAGTTACTATTTTCCACAGTATTGTTCCATGGGAGTTTGATAACGCTCTTCCCTCGCCACGTGTTTGTCTTTCTGTAGCTTACTCTAAATGATGTAGCATCACGCTTTGTACAGCTGTAATGCCAGAGGGACTCACCGACAATTCTGGGGAACTCAGCTCAGGAACTAGACTTTGAACTTGTTTTCCTAACTTTCATTCCCTATTTGACTACTACAAATTTCATATATTCTGTCTTCATTAGGTGTTCCATAAGTGCTCAGGATCTACTGATAACAAAATACCAAACATAATCCAGTAGACTCCAAAGAACAATAGAGATTTAAATCATTACAGGAAACAACTCTGCATGGCATCACAGAGTTACCACAAAAAGTAATTCTTAATTACCTGCAAAACTATTACAAAGCTATCAAAAAAAAAAAAAAAAAAAAAAACTTTCACTTTGGGGAAAATGTATAAAAACATCTTACATTTGTGGGTAAATACATTTGTTATTAGAATTCTAAAATGGCATCTTACCTGCATCCCTACACTTCTAACCATTTCATGTGTAGAAGGCAGATCACAATCATCTGAAAAAGCTGCAGCATGTCCAGGAGCTAACTTAGTGTCATAGAGTTCCTGGATGTCACCTGATTACAGAAAGGTCAAAAGCATAAGAAACATACTTCACTGCTACAGAGTTGATAGGATAACTGCTGTTCTCATATATGTTGTTTATGAACATACCAATTTTAGGGGATAGCCCAGATATTGATAAAGGCTGAATTTTGTAATATGGGACAATTTTCAAATCTGAGTCCTGTACCTGGATGTCTAAGGTCTATCTTTAGATGTTATCATCAGTATTCAATACATATTTTGGTCTGAACATCCAAAATCAGCTACAGCAGAAGCTGACTACACTGTTAAGAAGCCTGGTTACAAAGTTCTGCATTCACAGAGCTTGCCTTTGGAGAGGGAGGGAAGGCAACTTTTCTGAGCCTCTTCAAGTCCCACAGAAGTGCCACTTCAATCTCTTGCACAGATCAGGTTTTTCCCGGTGTTACTGTGTTTATACCTCCTAGTAAGGTACTCGGATTCCCAGCACTGGCCAGTTGACATGTGCCTGTCACACTTGACCATCCCTGCTGGCTTCACAGACCACACAACTCCTTCCTGGTGGAGGGAAATAACGTAACGCATGGTATGTCACTCATCACCTGGCTAGCGGGTACCCACAATGTGCCAGAACAGTTTCAGGGCAGGTGGGAAGCACAGCGCTGCCACAGCAATTGAGCGAGTCTGCATCCAAACCTCCTACAGCTACCAGCTTTGCTGCTGGGCATGCGTCAGTCACAGGT